ATAGCTAAATGGGAAGATTTGCTCTTATCCCACTTGTCCCATAAACTGCCAGGACACCCTAGATGGAGCTGACCTAGTCAGTTTAACCAACACAGCCTTGCAGCATGGGACTAAACTGGAGGCCGAGAGCAGGGGTCTTAACCTGGGGTATATGGAGAACTTTTCAGAGTTCCAGTGGTGTGCAACATCTCAGGCTGTGTGCACCTTTCTGGGAAAGTGGGCACAGCTTTTGTTATATTTTTAGAGTTGTATGTGACCCCAAAAGTTAAAAAGCCACTACCCCAAATTACAGGAATGACTTACTTCAAGCATTCTCTATGCAGGATCTTGCAGGAAGCCTTGCAAGTGTGTTCCAGTCCCATAACCTGCAGTCCTTGTCAAATTTCAGCACAGCTGGGTAGTGAGGGAAGACACCAAGGTTGTTTGATGGATTTAAGAAAATACACCTGAACTAAAGTATGCTGTCCTATTTGGCGTGGCAGCCATAAAGAACTGAAAATGTTTTCCATCACTTCCGCTTCCTTCGCTGGGATTAGCTTTCAGAGCCTAGAGACCCTTCTTCAATAGCTCTTCACTGGTGGCAAATTTCTATACTTTGAAGGGGCATTCAGAACTAAGATCAGTGACAGAAATTGGTCAAATGATGTAATTATTTGGGGTCCAAAACTAAATGTGGCTAAGAAGCAATAAACCTGGCTCTCTTAGGCTGGTAGGAGCAGGTTCTGGACAGGGAGTCCCAGCTTATTTGCAATGGCTACAATGCTGGAATGCCTAGTTTCCTAGGTGGCTGCTTCAAGACACAGTGCTCATTTGGATGTGTAGCTTCTGAAACATTTTTAAACATTACTTGGGTCACAAGAAAGGTACTGTTTTCCACTTGGAGAGCATCAACCTGGCGTCTCCAGGAGGAGCACTTTGAAATCTTGGGGCCCTAAGGTTTCATTTTTACCAAAAAGAATGTGTAAGACCCAGTGAGACAGGAGCCACTTTCTTCCAACTCAGAGCTGCTGGTCCAAAGTTGGAGATGCCAGATCTAATTCAGTGTGACTCCAACAAGGTAGAATGATAAATCTAAATGCTTTATGTCTCTAATTGCAATTCATTTCATTTGAGCAAGTCCATCTTCAAGAAGAGACTGCACAAGTGACTACAGCCGTTGCAAGGAGTCTACTAGTATTGTCTACTAGTATTGAGCTTCTGAATTAACTTCTTGCAATCAGATTTACAGATTAGGAATTCGTAACTGCCCAGTGATTAGTTAAAAACCTCTTATAAACCCAGTTGGGGGGAGAGAGAAATCACAGGTTGATTTCTAGGTGAAACAGGGCCACCACAGCTGTAGGACAGAAGGCAATCGTGGAGAACAGGGGGGGGGTGTGTGTGTGTGTGTATGTGTGTGTGTGTGTGTGTGTTTCCTTACCTCAGGAGGAAAACCTCCCCATATAGGGCTATAGCCCGGCCCAAGGGCACCAGGTGCCCTGATTCCTCTGGTCTTGTTAACCCAGAGCACAGCTGTATGGTCACCTCTCCACAAAACTGAACCCACAATCTCCCAAGCTTCTGCCAGAAGAGTGAGCTAGCAATGCACAAACCCAAAGAAAACTGGACTTTGAAAAACTAGGTCTGTTTCAATGTCATCTTCACTTGGGTTAGTTCTTGTTACTGAATAGTCTTTTTGCAAATGCACTGCCACATTTACTGGAGGAGAGCTAAAAGTCACACTAGAGCCAGAGTAGTATAGGACAGCAGCACTCCCAGGAGGGGGCCAGTCAGAAACGCAAACAAATGTCTAGGGGCAAGGACACCTGGAGGTTCTACTTTCCAGGCTAAACCTTGAAGCTTTAAGGCTGGTCCTTGGTCATGTGATGGCATTTTTGTGTTCTAGCTTCAAGCAGGGCAAGGATGCAATCTGAAGAGTAGAGTCTGATGTCAGAAAATGATTAAAAACAATAAAAACCAACCACCTCTACCCCAAAAGCAGCTTTCCAAATGGCTTTCTCATGCACTCAGTATGCTAGTCAGTATGTCAAGTTCTAGGGACTCAGGGCTGGGGGTGGAATCATGCAAGTAACTCGCCCCCCCCACCCCACCCCCCACACACACTCAGCTCCATTTAGGGAATGTTCAGTCAATATAAACTTAATTTTCACTGCTGTCAACCCAAGCCAAACATAATCACAGCTAAATCTGCTACTAGTCACCCCCTAAAGGCAATAAAAAATCAAATATGAAGGAGTAATTCTCTACAATTGTCAAGATGACTTGACCTGTGCTTCAAAAGGTTTTGTCATAGCAAGAGGAGAGACTAAGGGAATGTGAGGGATTTCCATGCTCACTGGCTGCTTCATTCACCATATTAGGCCAGTCATTTATTCTAGCGATGCCATGATTGCTAGCCCTCCCCACCCCCTACATCCTTCCCCCAGCCACTTCCCAACTATCTGGGAACTGCATCCTTTAGAATATCAAAATCGACCTCCTCTGAGGATACATTTGACCTGGGAAAGCAATCAAGTCTGGAGAGCAAGGAGTCTGAAACGAGCTGGATTAGACCATCTGGGCGAAGCACAGTCATGACTATATAAGGTCTTCTGATATTGTATATAATTTTGTCCTCGGAGCCATTCCTAAAGGGAAGTGGCAGTGTTTTCAGCAAGGACTTCATCATCAGGGGACATGTGCCTCCCAAGGCCAACATAAATCCTGGGAGGTTTTATTTTTGGTCTTGAAGCTCTTTTGTTCCTCTTAGTTGCTAGAGTTCTCCCTCTGGATGGTCCCTACATTCGATAGGTCTGGCTGGTCCTCGGCAAATTTAAAAGCTTTTCTGATTTGACATAGAAGAATAGTTGTTATAGTTCTGTTTCATTTTCCTGACCTCAAAAATAACAGGGGTGCTGTGAAAAGTCAATTGCCACCAGTTGCCCAATGGGTTTGCCATAAGCCAAGAAAGGCAGGAAGCCACTATAGATAGTTCTGAGCAGGGGTGGATGTTCTGATCTGGGTCTCTTTCCACAGGTTCTGAGTCAGAGGGTGGCCTTAGGACCATTGCCCCCAACCCTCACCCCACTTCTAAGATGAAGCAATCTAGCAGGATTGCTGGAACCTAAGAAGGTGAAGACAAATGGATAAAGGAGACATTTCTCTCTTCTCCCACTGGTGTGGAGCATCACTTGCCCCTCACGGGGCCTGTTTGAATCAAACCATAAAGGAGAAGTAGAATATGGAAGAACACCTCAGGGTGACCTTCTGGCACACACCTTAACTCAGGTGGATTGGAGAGATCACTGCCCCTAAGCTTTGCCTCATGCTCCAGCCCTGCTGTCCCTGAGGGGAGCTCTAAAAATGGCCCCCTTCAGTGGGCATCAACTGTTGGACCAAAGGAACTTCAGTGAATGGTTGATCCAACCCTCTATCAGGAAACCAAAGCCTAGAGATTACCTGTCAAGGTCAAAAACTAGTCAGTGGCAGGGCCAGGGTGAGTGTTCCTTTCAGCAGTCACCATCACATACAGAGGAAGACCTGGCCAGCTGCCGAAAATGAGGGAACGAAGAAAATGATTTTAGATGCAGCCTGTGAGTGGATGGGGGAAGGGGCCTCCGTGGCTCAAGATTGCCTTGCAGAGGGCAGCAGAGAACCTCCCAGGAAAGACGCCTGAGGGAGGAGAAGGGAAAGAGGAGTACAGATAAATTTATTAGTTAAATACTGATTTTACAGCCATTTCACCTTAAGACAATGTTAACAGGTTTGTGGGTTAGGGAAGGTATATGAGGGTGGCCTTCATGAAAGAAAATAATGTAAATGATGATTAAAACATAATCTGGGTTTAGAGATATTCTCTGCTACAGCCTGTAGGATTTGGGGGTGGGGGGCTGGGTGTTTCCGGGTAGGACGTGGTAAGGCCACAGTCTGCGACAGCTCTGCTGTTAAGAATGACACGGGAGGAGGAGTCTGTGCGCCCCAGTGTCATGGGCAGAAACAGCAATGTAGAGACGAGAAAAAGGCTCATTCCAGACCAGCCCAGAGAGCCCTCAAGGCCCCGTCGGTGTCTTCTCTTAGCGGTCATCCTCTCTCTTTCCGTGAGTCGTGTTGTGTGTGCTTTGAATTTATGTTGCAAAATCCTTAGCTTTTTGCCTCTTGGACAAGACATTTCTGCTGGAGAAAGGATGCAGGTGCGGGCACTCTGCACCCCTTGGCCCAGAGGCACATCTTCGCAGAACAGAAGTAGCTTCAGCAAGATCCGAGCACCAGCAAGTCAGAATCCATGGAAAGCCCTGCCCCCATCTCATGCGGGCCCAGCCCCGGCCAGTGTCCACCATCAGCCTCACCAGAGGGATCTCAGGTCTCAGGTGAATGTTGGTCAAACTGGCTTTAGCAGCAGAACCTCTTTTGTTCTCATTCAGAACACCCTGTGTGTGATGGGGTGAAGGATTTTGGGGGGCAGGCGTGTGGGGCTGCTGTTCAGCTAAACTATGGAGCTCCTGTTTCACTGAGGGGAGAGCTGAATCAGTGGAAGGGATTTTTATTTTCAGAGGCCTTGGGGTGAAGAGAAGGATCGCAAAGGAATGAGGTCGTGAGCTGGGGAAAGGAACGTGGCGGAGGCGAAGTTGCCAAGTTGCAATTTTGCGGAAGCCATACTGTGTGGTGGGTGAGGCAGCCTCTCCGTCTCCCCACAGAGCACCCAGTAACACGGGTGGGACACCCAGCGTTTCTGGAGTCAAGATTCATTATGGAGGGATGCAGGGGTGTGCTGAGCCTGAAGGGGAGTGTTGGGCAAGGGCAGGAGCTGCCCCGAGGGGCCTGTCACACCCACAGGCACATTGATGCCCTGGATCAGGCTGGAGCAGGGGTCCCAGCATCCTGCCCCTCTACCCGCCCTCAGATCCCGGTACTGGGAACACCACGGAATGACCATAATCCTAGGCCACAGCGATGGAAAGGTAGAGAAGGACATCTCATCTCTTGTCAGGGGTGGAGTGGGGCAGGTAACGAGAAAGAAGTCTCTAACTCCACAAAAGGGACTTGAGGGTGCTCCTACGAAGGGTGGATGCTTCCAGGTCAGAGTCTGGGCTCTTCCCAGCCCCATCTGGAAAAGGCAGCTGATAAAATCCTACACCCACTTCCCCTAACCAAATCATCGACTTCAAGTTTCTTCCCAGTGGTTCTTCTGGAGTCATTCCCGGACAGAGCATGCCGGCCGCTAGAGCCGGAGCCTCACGTCTGCTGTCTCTAAGTCTGTGCAGGAATCTGAGGAGGGAGGGAGGTGACATTATGCAGTGATTATGTCCCCGTGACTGTCAGCCAAGGCCAGGCTGTTCCAAGGGTCCTGCTTGGAGCTGGCCTGCGGTGACTGGCTGACAGAGGACGCGTAGCCTTGTGGGGAGAGCTTCAGGGCCGAGAGGACCGGGTGGATGGAGGGCCCGTGGCCAGACATCGCACTGACCGAGAACGTCTGAAAGCAAAGAGTGCAAGATGAGGTCAATGGAGTCACTCCTGGGGGCTCAGGAGGGGAGGTCTGGACTGAAGAGGGGGAGCCCCATTACGAAGATGTCCCCAGGCTGGTTCCCACCCCTAGCAGAGGGATCAGAGGAGCAGAGCCAAAGGACAAGGGCAGGACAAGGGACCCAGCACACTTCTGTTTTCTCTACCCTATGCTATGGGATTAAGAGGGTCTGTGACTCATCAGCTGCTTCTGAGCAACATGACCCAGTAGAGGCTGTGACTATTCTGGTTTCTCTGAAGGCCCTGATGGTTACATGAGACATTGGCTACAATCTCATCACCATCAGATCTCCACTCAAACAGTAGCTGTCCTTCCCACCCAGAAGGGGCTCCTGGCTCTCCTGGTTCTACAGAACATGCTGCTCTTCACCCCGACAGTAAAAAGCTGGTTAGGACACAGCCTCCCGCAAGTATGGGCGGCGAAGAGGTCAGAGTTAATGGGAGAAGGCAACCAGGAACATCCTGATCCCAAGTGAGGGGAGCCATTGG